TTCAGTCGTTAAAACTCTCGGAACGTTCCGTTATTCGTAGGAACGTTCGAATTTCAGTAGTAGACACGTTCGATTTCCTTTATTCGTTGGCCTGAAAGAGCGTTACCTTCGCCTCCTTGACAGCAGTCAAGACGGAGTGTCCTGTCAAACCTGTCTGTGTACACCTGTCAGCCACATGTATCTGCACACCTGTCAAGACACCACGTCAGAAATGCCAAGGTCTTTCCTTACCAGAAACGTGTTAACCCAATCACCTAACCTGTCAAGGCCAAGGTATTGAGGACGTCAATATTTCGGTGTTTTAATTTGTGCTAATACGTTAAGAATGTGACGTATTAGGTGGGAGGACAGGATGGAGAATTACTGGATTTACGAAATTTACGAAAGCTGTATACCCTTGAACAATAATAAATGTAAACAAGGCCGCCATTAAACAGTTTACAAGCTGGGAAACTTCACAACCCAAAGTTGTTATTGTAAATAAACTATTTCGTAGTGCTTCGGAGCTCATAAACTGTTTAATGAATGTAAACAAAGACGCCATGATTGAGGAAAGATGTAGAGGTTTCGCAAGTGGGTGGTTGAGTCCCGGCCTGTGGTTATGTAGTTGTGTTGCGTGCACGCGCGTGCGCTGGTGATTACTGATGCTTTAAGGCGTGTGCCTGTGCTTGTGCATGGCAAGTCTTGCGTGTGGGTGTGTGTGTGTGTGTGTGTGTGTGTGTGTGTGTGTGTGTGTGTATGTGTGTGTGTGTGTGTATGTGTACTTGTTTGTGTGCGTGTGTTTGAACGTGTGCTTCACGTTCAATATATATATATATATATATATATATATATATATATATATATATATATATATATATATATATATATATATATATATATATATATATATATATATATATATATATATATATATATATATATATATATATATATATATATATATATATATATATATATATATATATATATATATATACTATATAACACACTATATGTTAATGTTACTTGAATTTGAACGAAGATTGAGATTTTCAGAGGTATGCCACTAGACTGGACCCAGAGCTGAAAGGTATGAGCTACGAGGAAAGACGACAGGTGTTAAACCTAACATCACTTGGAGAAGAAACAGGTGAGAAATGATCACCACACACAAAATACTCCGGGGAATGGACATGGTAGACAAGAACAGACAAAAATGCCTAGGCAGTTTCAAATGTAGATGTGACAGAGCTCAGTAGACTCTGGATTCTATACACAAGTCGATTAAGAGTCGAGAGGCGGGACCCAGAACTGTAGTTCGTCCCCTGCAAGTACAATTACACAAGTACTCCTCCACAAGCAGAGCAAAAAACACAAAAAGCAAAAAAAAAAAACTGCATAGCTTTAAAAACAAAGCCCAAAATGGCAGAACGAAAAAGCCCCTTCGCCATCTGAACCAATTAAAAAAAAAACTTTCAGTACTAGAGTAAAAATAAAATAAAATAAAAATCGCTAGCAAAGCCCCCCCCCCACCCCCCCCCCACCAAAAAAAAAACTCTAAGCTTTTCTTCATTTAACTCCAAGCATATAATGACTTGGTGCTTTCTCCTGATAGTTGCTTTTATTTACACAAACAAAACACGAGTAAAACCTGTTCCAACCCCGTCTCACCTGACACACACAACCTCCCCCTCCCGGCCATATATCCTTCCTGGCCATATATATATTCTCGGCCATATATATATTCCCGGCCATATATGACAGTCCTATATGAATCGGTGCAAAAGGAACAAGAACAACAACAATGTGGAACCATACTGCGTGCTCAAGAGAGGCCAAATGCGTGTGGTGTGAGCGAACACCTGAAGCTGTGTGAAGCTGTGTCCATGCAGGTCATTCTTACCCCCTAGACACACGGCCATCATTGTTGCCAAAAATGCTAAGCATTTTCCCTCTTTTTATTTTCTATATTTTTGTATGGTGCTTAATCCGCGTGTTCGGGTTTTTCTCCCTATGTGTCACTGACTACTGCGTCTAGGTTGGTTTTGATAGGATTTTGGTGTAGTGTGAATGCGTTTTTGAGTAGTTGTTTAGGAATTAAGGGTCCTGGGCGGGGCGTTGGCCGCTCCGGTGATGCCTGTGTCGCCACGGCCGTTCGCCGCCATAACCCGGTTCCATTATATTGGAACTTGTGCGATAGCGATGAACCGAAAAAAATTCTCCTGGCTGGGATTTCACGCAATATTCAACCATTTTCATTGCTTTTTCTGGTGCCTGTGGAACACGACTCGCGGTCATTCTGTTGCAGCATCATAGAGCTCGGCTACCAGTGACGCTAAGGAACAGACACTCAGCTTCCAATTGACGCCATTCGTTGGATTTTATTCACATACATTAGCTAATTATCGGATGCAAATGCTTGGCAACACCAGGCGGGATGCTGATTGGGCGGATCCAATTAGCTGCTCGCGCTCCGATTGGTTGAGCGAGAGACGAGAGGTGGAGCCTGTTGCAAGATCTTCGCTAAATATTGTATAAATCACGGCTAGGGGTACAAAGTCCGCGGTTTCTTATAAGTGGTTATTTATTATTTTCCGACCTGAGCATGATAGTGCAGATAAACTCCGGGACGAGGCAGGAGGAGCAGGAGGAGGTTGGTGGGGATTAATTCACCTCCCTCAGTGAATAATCCCGCCGACTTCACCACCGCTCAAGCGGGGGAGCTATCGCAGTTATCAACCGCCAATAACAAACACAGTCACTTCAATAGTTGCAATTTCTCATTCGCAGCGAGAGGGCCCACACTCATGGGGGCCCAGAAGGCTGTGTTTCCTCCCTATCTCAACATCGAGAGAGTTATCATAGTCTCCCTTGCGTTAAAAAGATTATTTCGCGTCCTTCGAAAGAAAACGTTGAATAAAATATCGCGGGCAGTTGGCTAGAGTTTCTCGTCTTAATTCAGACTTGGCATGCCTCCGAGACCGCCAATTGCATAACAAGCAGACCACAGCCGAGTTTTAATCAACCCTTGGGTTTATCAACAGCATTCTTTTGATTATTATCTTCTGGATCAGGCCCTGTACCTCTCCGATCGGCGATGTTTTGGGGTCCGTGATCGGCTGGGATCTTGTTGAGCGGTAGCGATGTTCGCTTGATCGGATCCGTGACGTTGATGGGTTTTGGTTCACTAGTGATCAGATCTCACGCAACTCACTGATCAGATCTCACGCAACTCACTGATCAGATCTCACGCAACTCACTGATCAGTTGTGTATTTTTCCTTTAGGTTAAGTTCAGCATCTCATTGTATCCGCTTTTGTTTTGCATTTTGATGGTTCTTGTGTGCAAATGATGAATGCTGTTTCCGGTACAATGCGTTCCGCGTTCGACCTCCACAGGAGACCTGGAGCGATGGTTATCACCGGCTCGGTAGCCAGGCCGACCTGGCAATCGAACGGCCGTATAAGTAGCCGTGATTGGCCAGTCTTCTAATCAGCAACATGAGGGAGCTTCCTACCCAAGTAGCAGATAGCTTTGTTTACATTCTTGATCTCTCTTGTGTTCGCTGTGAGACGCCTTGTTGGTGTGTGTGGTGCAGGTGTGGTGTGTGTGTTGGTGTGTGTGGTGCAGGTGTGGTGTGTGTGTTGGTGTGTGTGGTGCAGGTGTGGTGTGTGTGTGTGGTGCAGGTGTGGTGTGTGTGGTGCAGGTGTGGTGTGTGTGTGGTGCAGGTGTAGAGTGTGTGTGTTGGTGTGTGTGGTGAGGGTGTAGTGTATGTACTCACCTAGTTATACTCACCTAGTTGTGTCTGCAGGATCGAGCATTGACTCTTGGATCCCACCTTTCGAGCATCGGTTGTTTACAGCAATGACTCCGGTCCTATTTCCCTATCATACCTGGTTTTAAAATTATGAATAGTATTTGCTTCCACAACCTGTTCCTGAAGTGCATTCCATTTTCCCACTACTCTCACGCTAAAAGAAAACTTCCTAACATATGTTGGTGTGTGTGTGTGTGTGAGGTGCGGGTGTAGCGTGTGTGTGAGGTGCGGGTGTAGCGTGTGTGTGTTGGTGTGTGAGGTGCGGGTGTAGCGTGTGTGTGTTGGTGTGTGTGAGGTGCGGGTGCAGCGTGTGTGTGTTGGTGTGTGTGTGAGGTGCGGGTGTAGCGTGTGTGTGTTGGTGTGTGTGTGTGTGTGTGTGTGTGAGGTGCGGGTGTAGCGTGTGTGTGTTGGTGTGTGTGAGGTGCGGGTGTAGCGTGTGTGTGTTGGTGTGTGTGAGGTGCGGGTGTAGCGTGTGTGTGTTGGTGTGTGAGGTGCGGGTGTAGCGTGTGTGTGTTGGTGTGTGAGGTGCGGGTGTAGCGTGTGTGTGTTGGTGTGTGAGGTGCGGGTGTAGCGTGTGTGTGTTGGTGTGTGTGAGGTGCGGGTGTAGCGTGTGTGTGTTGGTGTGTGAGGTGAGGCTGTAGGGTGTATGTTCTCTCATAAGAAAAAACAACAAACCTAATAACGTAAAACGAACAAAAATGAACAAAAATGAACAAAAATGAACCTTATATCGCACACAGACATATACACAACAAATTAAGACAAGCAGTATAAGGCTAAATTAACCAATTTAAAGGTAGACTGTTATAGAGACATAACCCTTTAAATACCCACTTGGTTTGAGGCCCATCAAGGAGTCTTAATCACCACAAGGAAACCAACTGCCACTCAAGATTAACCCCCTTAAAGTGGCAGTTAGGTCTGAGGTCACTCAAGGGTCAATATGGCACCTCCCACAGCATGTACTTGGCACCACTCTACTAATTACTCTCACCAGAGGCGTTCCACACATACAAGGATTCAGACGGGTATTTTTAATGTCTCAAACATGCTCATGGTTTTTTGTACCAGTGGGATCGTGGAGGGTGTCTGTCGGCCCAATTTGAGGTCCTGGGCGTTTATAATGGTACAAGTAGTTAATTCGCAGCTGAAGTTGCTGTGTGGAACGACATGGTTAGGTTATATTTCTGTCTCTTGGGTGTTATATGGTAGGATGTGTGTCACGGTAACGGGGCTGGTACATGTCACGGGGCTGGTACATGTCACGGGGCTGGTACATGTCACGGGGCTGTGTGTCACGGTAACGGGGCTGGTACATGTCACGGGGCTGGTACATGTCACGGGGCTGTGTGTCACGGTAACGGGGCTGGTACATGTCACGGGGCTGGTACATGTCACGGGGCTGTGTGTCACGGTAACGGGGCTGGTACATGTCACGGGGCTGGTACATGTCACGGGGCTGGTACATGTCACGGGGCTGGTACATGTCACGGGGCTGGTACATGTCACGGGGCTGGTACATGTCACGGGGCTGGTACATGTCACGGGGCTGGTACATGTCACGGGCCTGGTACATGTCACGGGGCTGGTACATGTCACGGGGCTGGTACATGTCACGGGGCTGGTACATGTCACGGGGCTGGTACATGTCACGGGGCTGGTACATGTCACGGGGCTGGTACATGTCACGGGGCTGGTACATGTCACGGGGCTGGTACATGTCACGGGGCTGGTACATGTCACGGGGCTGGTACATGTCACGGGCCTGGTACATGTCACGGGGCTGGTACATGTCACGGGGCTGGTACATGTCACGGGGCTGGTACATGTCACGGGGCTGGTACATGTCACGGGGCTGGTACATGTCACGGGGCTGGTACATGTCACGGGCCTGGTACATGTCACGGGGCTGGTACATGTCACGGGGCTGGTACATGTCACGGGGCTGGTACATGTCACGGGGCTGGTACATGTCACGGGGCTGGTACATGTCACGGGGCTGGTACATGTCACGGGGCTGGTACATGTCACGGGGCTGGTACATGTCACGGGGCTGGTACATGTCACGGGGCTGGTACATGTCACGGGGCTGGTACATGTCACGGGGCTGTAACACATGTGTGTCTATCTGTCTTTCGCTCTCTGATTCTCTCTCATTCTCCCTCATTCTCTCTCTCATTCTCCGTCATTCTCTCTCCCATTCTCCCTCATTCTCTCTCCCATTCTCCCTCATTCTCTCTCCCATTCTCCCTCATTCTCTCTCCCATTCTCCCTCATTCTCTCTCCCATTCTCCCTCATTCTCTCTCTCATTCTCCCTCACTCTCTCTCTCATTCTCCCTCATTCTCTCTCATTCTCCCTCACTCTCTCTCCCATTCTCCCTCATTCTCTCTCCCATTCTCCCTCATTCTCTCTCTCATTCTCCCTCATTCTCTCTCCCATTCTCCCTCATTCTCCCTCCCATTCTCCCTCATTCTCCCTCCCATTCTCCCTCATTCTCTCTCCCATTCTCCCTCATTCTCTCTCCCATTCTCCCTCATTCTCTCTCCCATTCTCCCTCATCCTCTCTCCCATTCTCCCTCATTCTCTCTCTCATTCTCCCTCCCATTCTCTCTCTCATTCTCCCTCCCATTCTCCCTCATTCTCTCTCACTCTCTCTCCCATTCTCCCTCATTCTCTCTCTCATTCTCCCTCATTCTCTCTCTCATTCTCCCTCATTCTCCCTCATTCTCTCTCCCATTCTCCCTCATTCTCTCCCATTCTCCCTCACTCTCTCTCCCATTCTCCCTCATTCTCTCTCATTCTCCCTCACTCTCTCATTCTCCGTCACACTCACGAGACCGACACTAGTCGGTCACTATAGACAACACCAGGGAGCCGGTGGCTGAGCGGACATAACACTAGATACGTGATCCTGTGGTCCCGGGTTCGATCCCGGGCGCCGGCGAGAAACGATGGGCAGAGTTTCTTTCACCCTGATGCTCCTATTACCTAGCAGTAAATAAGTACGTTGGAGTTAGTCAGCTGTCACGGGCTGCTTCCTGGGGGTGGAGGCCTGGTCGAGGACCGGGCCGCGGGGACAGTAAAGCCCCGAAATCATCTCAAGATAACCTCAAGATAACCACCAAGGACAGTGCAGGTGAGTGGCAACCCCACAACAGTTAAGGAACAGCTCAAAGTTGTTGTTGTTTCAGAATTAGCTACTCAGAACGGTGTCCATGTAGCACGGGCTATGGTGAGCCCGTAACAGCTCAAAGATTGATTGATTGATTGAAGAAGATTAAGCCACCCAAGAGGTGGCACGGGCATGAATAGCCCGTAAGTGGTGGCCCTTTTGAGCCATTACCAGTATCAAAAGATGATACTGGAGATCTGTGGAGGTGCGACTGCACCCTGCGTGACGGGAGATGTCTCCCGTAACAGCTCAAAGACCCCGCTGGGATATATATATTGGTTGGGGGGGAGGGGGGGGGGGAGAAATAGCCTAAGCAACTCTATCCCTTTGAGATGTATTTCTTTCTTGTCTCAATAAACATAGTTGAACTTGATATATATATTCTTGCAAAACCTAACGATTTTACGGGCTATTCATGCCCGTGCCACCTCTTGGGTGGCTTAATCTCTATCAATCAATCGCCTAACGATTAACCATTGTTCAGCTGATTATCTCTTACGGGGTGGATCTATTCATGTTTTCTAACCCAGTGATAATACTTCAGTTTCGAATTGTTTCGTAACAAAATGCATCTGTTTTGCCTATTCAGAAACGATAGCTTTGATGAATGGGTTGGTTAGGTTAAATCTAACCTAGCAATCCACGCTCCACCCTTAGCCTATCGAGGTTATAAAATAGAAAACGTCAATATTGTGGGGTTTTATTTGTTAGTAAATATGTTGCAATTTAAATGGATTGGTTGATCGCGTGCGAAAATGCGAGTGGACTGGATGGAACGCAGCCTCCTTCCACCATCAGGGATTGAACGCTGATCTTGCAAGAAGCGAGGATGTCTCTGTGTAAACCTGTCTTAAGTGGACAGTCATGTGATATTGCATGTTCAAAGTGGTCTTTGGGAGTGAGCTGGTGGTTGATGTGGACAGTGAGGGAAAGATTTTGACCAGTCCTTCCTCAGGCCAAGTCCATTCCATCCAGCAGTCGACCCCACAGACGCATTCATCAATTTGAACATTGATGAACATTGATACATAAATACATACATACATACATACATACATACATACATACATACATACATACATACATACATACAAGGGTACGGTAACTCGCCATTTGACATGCGCAAAATTTGAAGCGCTTCTGCCCAATGACACACGTACGAACCCAAGCCACCCACCTAGCCTATCGAAGCCAATACTCATTAGTCCTATAAAACGTCAACATTACGGTGGTTTTAATGTATCACAAAAATCCTGTGACAATGTGATCGACAGCGTTAAAATCACGGTGCATTAGGTCGAGAGGACAGGTCTGCTGGGGCCAGATTCACTAAGTAGTTACGCAAGTATTTACGAACCTGTACATCTTTTCTCAATCTTTGGCGGTTTTGTTTACAATTATTAAACAGTTAATGAGCTCCGAAGCACCAGGAGGCTGTTTATAACAATAACAACAGTTGATTGGCAAGTTTTCATGCTTGTAAACTGTTTAAAAATGTAACCACAGCCGTCAAAGATTGAGTAAAGATGTACACGTTCGTAAGTGCTTGCGTAACTGCTTCGTGAATCTGGCCCCCAGGGGAATGAAGGGAACTATCAGGGAAAGCGCCAAGCCATTGCGACTATATAGCACTGGGAAGGGGTCAGGATAAGGATTTGGGATGGGACGAGAGGAAAGGAATGGTGCCCAACCACTTCGACGGTGGGGTTAACAGCATCTGGGAGATGAGGTCACCTCGATCATCACTAACGTTCACAGCGCCTGGCTCAGGTCAGGTCAAAGGTTAATTAACAGTGATGACCAATGGCGGAAGATGTTTCAATGTCGACCCTCGCTTGGATGACCCAGGGTCGAGGTCTTCTGTGGGCTTGTTAGGGCATTTTAAGTGTGGTTGTTAGGGCATTTTAAGTGTGGTTGTTAGGGGCATTTTCAGTGAAGTTGTCAGGGCATTTTCTGTGGGCTTGTTAGGGCATTTTTGTGGGGATGTTAGGGCATTTTCTGTGGGCTTGTTAGGGCATTTTCTGTGGGCTTGTTAGGGCATTTTCTGTGGGCTTGTTAGGGCATTTTAAGTGTGGTTGTTAGGGGCATTTTCAGTGAGGTTGTTAGGGGCATTTTCAGTGGGGTTGTTAGGGCATTTTTGTGGGGTTGTTAGGGCATTTTCTGTGGGGTTGTTAGGGCATTTTTGTGGGGTTGTTAGGGCATTTTTGTGGGGATGTTAGGGCATTTTCTGTGGGGATGTTAGGGCATTTTCTGTGGGCTTGTTAGGGCATTTTCTGTGGGGTTGTTAGGGCATTTTCTGTGGGCTTGTTAGGGCATTTTCTGTGGGGTTGTTAGGGCATTTTCTGTGGGGTTGTTAGGGCATTTTTGTGGGGATGTTAGGGCATTTTCTGTGGGGATGTTAGGGCATTTTCTGTGGGCTTGTTAGGGCATTTTCTGTGGGGTTGTTAGGGCATTTTCTGTGGGCTTGTTAGGGCATTTTCTGTGGGCTTGTTAGGGCATTTTCTGTGGGCTTGTTAGAGCATTTTCTGTGGGCTTGTTAGCATTTTCTGTGGGCTTGTTAGGGCATTTTCTGTGGGCTTGTTAGCATTTTCTGTGGGCTTGTTAGGGCATTTTTGTGGGGTTGTTAGGGCATTTTCTGTGGGGTTGTTAGGGCATTTTCTGTGGGGATGTTAGGGCATTTTCTGTGGGGTTGTTAGGGCATTTTCTGTGGGGTTGTTAGGGCATTTTCTGTGGGCTTGTTAGGGCATTTTCTGTGGGCTTGTTAGGGCATTTTCTGTGGGCATTGTGCATGAGTTTTTCAGTTCAAGTTGTCACCCACATACACAATCAGAATCACAAATCTCTCCAACCAATGATTTACTGACTGTATAAAGTTACAAATTAATACAATAAATACAATTTAGATTTCATTTTAATAAAAGGTTATAATCGTTAAGTTTAACCCCCCCAAAAATTGACTTGAAGCATCGTTAATCACAGACGAGGTATTATGACCCTAACGACAATAATAAAAAAGGGCCCAAACTGCGTGTTGACGAGGTCCCTAACGATGCCATCTGAGACACCTCGGTTAATCAAGACTTTAGCGAGGCGACGCGTAATTAAGCGACTTGCTAAATTGCTGGTCCAAATAGCCGAACTACAACGCGGCTATTGTGAACAAGGAGACGCTGTCTCCATGGCAACCACGCCAACAATCCATGCGTGGGGGGGGACTATCAGGGGAAAGCACCAAGCCATTACGACTATATAGCACTGGGAAGGGGTCAGGATAAGGATTTGGGATGGGACGGGGGGAAAGGAATGGTGCCCAACCACTTGTGGACGGTCGGGAATTGAACGCCGACCTGCATGAGATTTAGACACGTGTGTGGGTTTTAAACGTTAAATAACTTGTAACTTTTGCTTAAACCGTCGGTAGTTTCAAAGCGTTGTACGACAAAGAGTGCTGGGAAGACGGGACACCACGAGCGTAGCTCTCATCCTGTAACTACACTTAGTTAACTACGTACTTCGGTTACCTACACACGAGGACAGAAAATTAGACATGATTACGACGTGAAAAGTTGTCTCACAAACAAATGAAGCGAAATGTGTTCAACGTGAACACGTTTCGAACAGGATGACATGGATGGATACTTCACACACCAGTTACTGATCCATGCTATTGATCTGTGAGCAAGATCAATATTGAGTAATATTGATCACACTGTGTTGCCTTTCATTTGTATATTTTATTGATTTATTTCACTTGACAAGTTGGTAACTTTTTTATGACTCGTATCAGATCAGTTTATTGTTTGTTGGTTTGTTTCGTTATGTGGTGTTAGTGCCATGCTGCTGGTAGCCTCATGCTTATGTTCACTGTTCTCTGTTCACTGTTCTATGTTCAGTGTTCTGTGTTCAGTGTTCTCTGTTCACTGT